AAGGAAGGAAGGAAGGAAGGAAGGAAGGAAGGAAGGAAGGAAGGAAGGAAGGAAGGAAGGAAGATGAAAGAACGAATGAACTTGGCATGAGACTGAAGGAAGAATTGTGTGAACTGCACAGATGAAACTGCACAGATGATTCCCATTACCAGCACAATTGACAGAGTGCTTAGACTTCCTAGAAGTGGACACAGCAACTGTTTCTCCAGTGGTAATGATGGCTACATTTCAGAATTCACTGGCAATACTGGAGTACTTGACCTAGAGTATAAAGGAGCTGAAATTGTCAGGCACCGGGTAGACAAATCTTCCACTGATGATACAGCAGAAAGATTTGTTAGGGTTCAGTAAGGAAATGTCTGCAGTCACTGTTGAGTAAAGCCAGTTGCTGATTTTGTCTAAGGTCTAAGGGTAGAGATGAGTTTGAGATGTATACTTCTAAACTATCTGAGGAAATATAGGTAAAAAATGCTCAAAATGTTGTTTCTGTGCTAGTGAAACAATAGTTGTTTTGCTTCTAGGCCAGCGCAGCGGAATGAGGATCATAGTCCCATCAAAAAGCTCAACTTTGGGATATTCCAGAAGTCTGGTAGTATACAAATATAATAAACAGGTAGCAATACTATAAGCAGAAACAAGGCATTTGTGTGGTGACAGAGACCACAAAAAAATTAATTACTATAGACCTAGGAACAATGCAGGAGAAAGGCTCTGAGTAAGAATTAAGAAATGTTAACAATAATCCTTTAAAAATGATTACAGTTTTGCTCTAGGCTTCTATACTGCAATCATATAATGAATGCAATATTTTATTTATTTTTCCCAACACCACCTCTTCCATTATTCAAAGATATCCAAATCTATTGTCTTCATAGAAATCATACAATATTTGCTTCATAGTTTGTAGTTCATATCATGCTTATTTTCTATCCATCACATGCTTCCCCAAATATAGTATTAATTTCATCTTCAGTTTTAATCTGCCATCTGACTAAAGTAGAAGAGAATGTCATAGGCAGAATCATTATGTTTTCACTAGAAATGACAGCCTTTGTCTCTGAGGAAATTTCAACAAAAATTTGTTAGATTTTAAGTATAGGGTTGATATAAAGAGCAGCCTGTTTTGACTAGCATGGTGATGAATTTTAATTCTCAGATAGACCTTTATTTAGATTTAGTTTAAGTTTAAAAAAAAATGAAGGCTGATTTGTGATCCATTGTTATTGCTATCTTAAAATATTAACTGTCAAACTGATTACTGAGACAGTAATCAGTTTGACAGTTCAGAAGTCCTGTGATACATGGATAATGCATTTTCCAGCATCCAGTCTGTAATATAATTCCACTCCCCAACTAGGCGCATGTTACATAATACACTTACATTATAACTTTGGTTATAAACAATCACATTCTCCACAACCAATATCAATTCATGAGCACAAATGTGCAATAGAATGTGCTGTGTAGAATATATGTACAGACTCCAATATAATTTCAAAAGATTCACATGTATAAGTGTAAGCAGCAGATTTGAGGGAGCCCTGGATCATCTTCTAGTGATAACATGAGCCTTCCCCGAGAATTAAAATAACAGTAGTGCAGTCGTCAAAATTCATTACATAATTCAGCATGCACAACCTACTCAGCATCAAAGTAGCATAAACAACTTACAGTTTTCATATATCATGAATTCATATTACTAAAATATATAAAGTGGAATTTTCTGGGAAAAAATATTGATACCTGATAGAAAGTTCCCAATTCTTTTCCATTGGCTGTGAATGACAACATCCCAGTAGCTAATTCAACAAGGCATCCAATTTCTAGATCAACATTACCACGACTTGATCTTTGAGAATTAACAGATGATTCTCCTCCCCAAACCAGATAGCAATTACTACGTTTTACACTGAAACAAAACAACCAGAAAACAATTGGATGTTAAGTGTTGTCCAAAGACTTATTTAAATATGTATTTTATGTGGAATAGCCTACTCTATTCCACAGAAAGAGAAAAAGCAGAAATGAGTTATCTTTGGATCTGCTGGATCTGAAGCTGAGACATTCCACAAGAAGATTCCATGGCTTTGATAAACAGTTAGGTAATTATCACCAGTGTTCATAAAGTAAGTTAAATGAACATAAGGTTTTAGACATCTATAACAATTAAGCTTTGTTTGAAATCCAGTTTACTTTGCATTTCAAGGATCAGCCAAAAACTCCATTCAAATGTTTATTTTCAGATAACCAATATAAAGCAATTTTTTAAAGAAAATATTTTTTCTGACACTTAACTGTTCATTCACTTATGAAAATACTATTCTATAATTATGTTTTAACTGAATTTAGAGTCAGAGTGGTAGATGCTTAAATTATCTAAGTCATCGATATAGTTTATACCACAATGTAACAAGTGTTGAGGAAATGTAATTCAAGAAAAAGAGTAAATCGTTGCCTTTGATAAAATAGATCCTAAGTATTGTTACTGATACAGAATATACATTATGGTTCATATATTGATTCAATGATCATTATTCTTGTATTTGATTCTTAACATTAGAAGGAAGGAAGGAAGGAAGGAAGGAAGGAAGGAAGGAAGGAAGGAAGGAAGGAAG